GTACCTCACTTCTCAAGTCGTACAAGTCTTGCATGGTGCGCATCCTTGCATGTCTAGGCTCACCCTTATTATCGACCATTGATGGAGTATTAGCTGGTGCAGATGATTCTTTTTCCTTGATTACCACCTCAGTGGATTTTTTCCAATCCCATGAACTAGACTCATTCACCTGCACATCTCGGTTGATCACCACTTCTTCTCTATTAGATCAAACAACTTATAGTCTTTGGTATTCTCATCATAGCTGATAAAGATGTACCTCTTACTTTTGTCATCTAACTTAGTTCTCCTTTGATCTAGTACATGCGTGTAGTTTACACTTCCGAACACCATTAAATGAGACACCATAGATTTTTGTCCACTCCATGCTTCTTGCGATGCCCGATCTCCTAATTTCACACGAGGACATCAATTTTGCACATAAACCACACACAATTATGCTTTTGCCCAAAACTCCTTCAACATTCCTTTGCTCTTCATCATTGACCGGACCATGTCAGGATTAGTCTGACATGGTTATTTTAATATAATAGATAATAGATAAGTTTAATTAAATTATCAGTTATAGTTACTTTTATTAATCTGTCAATAAACATTTTTGGATTTAATTGTTAGCTTCAACTTTTAAAGGCTACAGATAGCTACATTTAGGTCGTCTTAGGAAGTTTTGAACATAAATAAATGGAGGCTGTTTGTATTTGCATAGTATTCTCTCATGAGTCACGGTGGAGAATCTTGTTTGTCATGGTCTGGCTTAGTCTGTTTTAATCCACCAAAATCCGCAGAACCATTTTTCTGTCAAATATTATCTTTTTTATGTCTTCTTTATTTTAAATTTCAGGTCATTGAAACCAGCCTCAATGTCAAAATCCTCCCAAAGTGCTTCAAAGTGTAGTTCTTCATTAGCTAAAAATCAGTGGAAAATAACAACGAAGTTAGTTGTTTTTATCATTTTTTTAATTTTTAATTCCCAGTGACAAATCTTCATCTGTTTCCATATTATGGACATAGGCTTGATAAATATTTTATTCACTTTACCTTTGAATACTTTTTCTCTTAAGAGATCAGAGGTTGCATAAGTTGGTTTTTGAGGAAGACGGATTGCCTGATGGTACTGAAGTAGCATATTTTGCCAGGGGACAGGTAGTTAAGAGAGATCTGCATGCTTATCTGTGTAACTATTCAAGTATTACTAAAGTTTATTGATGTGTATAGTGATTTATACCTTCTATCTACGCACAGAAATTACTCCAGGGTTATAAGAAGGGGTCTGGAATTTTATGTTGCTGCTGCAATTGTGTGGTAAAACCTTTACTTTCTTGTGCTCCCAAATTCATGAGTAGTTTTCTGAAAATTTTGTTTATACGTTATGTTTGCAGGTTAGTCCTTCACAATTTGAAGTTCATGCGGGTTGGTCTTCTCGCAAGAAACCGTGAGCATATTTTCCTTTAGATTTATGGCTGCTCAAACTATTCATTACTAGGTTTTCCAATGACTGATGGGTTTTGTTTGGCAGCTATGCATACATTTACACATCGAATGGGGTTTCTCTGCATGAATTAGCAATCTCTCTCTCCAAAGGGCGCAAATATTCTGCCAAGGATAATGATGACTTATGCATAATATGTCTAGATGGTGGCAATCTTTTGCTTTGTGATGGCTGCCCAAGGGCATTTCACAAAGGTGAATCATAATAAAGAGTACTTTGATTAGACAATTTTAAGTGCAGTGTTTTTTCTGTTAACTCTTCTCCAGTATAAACGTTTTTTTTGGGTGTGTGTGTGTGTGTTAAATAGTGAACAGTTTATAAGCTTATGTGTTGTTAATTGGCCTCCTTGCCTCGTTCAATTCATTGAATAATGGTCAGTTTTCCAGAGTAAAGTTTTTGATTTGCAGTTCCATTCATTTGTGCAGAATGTGCATCATTATCAAGTATTCCCCGTGGTGATTGGTATTGTAAATTTTGCCAGAATATGTTCCAAAGTGAGAAGTTTTTTGAGCATAATGCCAATGCTGTTGCAGCCGGAAGGGTATATGGAGTTGACCCTATTGAGCAGATTACTAAAAGATGCATTCGAATGGTCAGGAACATAGAAATAGATCTTAGTGGATGTGTGTTATGCCGGTATTAATTGCATTTTTCCTTCTCTCAAATGTCCTTCCCTAAGATTTCTCATTTTTCTTCTCGTTATATTATCTTATAGGTTGATTTTTCTTTGAAGTTATTCTTTTTTTATCCTTGCATGCAGTGGGTCTGATTTCAGCAAATCAGGTTTTGGTCCCCGCACAATTATACTTTGCGATCAGGTATCTTGTCATATCATCTTAACTTCTAGTTGAACATTCAAGTGTTGTTGTATTGACTCCTTCCAGTTCCTTGTCCATGTTTTTTGCTATTATGCTTTTTCTTCAAATTCTTCGTTTGATATCTGGTCAGTGCGAGAAGGAATTTCACGTGGGCTGTTTAAAAGACCACAAAATGGCATTTCTTAAGGTATTAACTGAAATTACAATCTTGCTTTTTACTTGAAATCCTTTGTGTGACAACAATTTCTTTCCTTGTCTAATGTCCTAATTTCTTTCTGGGATAAGAAATTGTAATGACCGTTAATGAAACAGGAATTGCCAAAAGGAAAGTGGTTTTGTAGCACAGATTGTACGAGGATACATTCCGCTCTACAGAAGCTGCTAATTCGTGGGCCAGAGAAGCTTCCAGATTCACTTTTGGAGGCTGTCAGTAGAAAGCTTGGAAAAAATAGTTCGGACAATAAGGCTGATGTTGATGTCAGTTGGAGACTTATCAGCGGAAAAATTGCTTCACCTGAAACTCGGTTGCTATTGTCAGAGGCTATTGCCATCTTCCACGTAAGTTTTCCTATATTTTCTTTTTATTTTGAATGTTTAGTTAAGTTCATTCCTAGAGCAATAATCTGTGTTCAATTACGATACTATTTAAGATACCATTCTTGTTTCTCTCTCTGTCTCACATGATTTCATTAACGGAAATAAAAGTTATATATGACTACAGACAACTTAATTTAAGCACAATGATATGCCATGATCTTCAAATACAAAAGCAACACTGAAGAGCCTGAGAAGTATTGTCCAATCCATGTTAGACTATCCTTGTATTTTGTATAGCTTATATCTATCTATATCTATTTCTTTATACACACGCACGCATATATGTATATTATAAGAAGTCTCTAAATTACATGTTGCGTAGAATTTATTTACAGCATTTGAACTATGATCCATGGGTGCAGTCTGATTTAAATCATGTCATCATTACTTTACAGGATCGCTTTGATCCTATAGTTGATATAACAAGTGGACGCGATCTTATTCCAGCTATGGTTTATGGGTTAGTGACACGTTATTTCAATATATATGTACATTTATATATTTTTTACTGCCTGAATACTGGCTATATTCAGTTTTTATTGTAGTAATTTATACTAAGTTGTTATCTGTCACTCTATCTCACAGAAGGGATGTAGGTGGACAAGAGTTTGGTGGCATGTATTGTGCCATATTAATTGTCAAGTAAGAGTCTATCTTATCAATGCGACCTTTAACCTTGTTACAAAATATCATTACAAATTTCTCTCTTTATATTGCACAGCTCATTTGTTGTATCAGCTGCAATGCTACGTGTTTTTGGCCAAGATATTGCAGAGCTGCCGTTGGTTGCGACAAGTAATGGTAACCATGGCAAGGTCTGACTAACGAATCTTACTTCTTCCATAAAATAAAACAATTATATTTTTGTTTATTATCTTTTTTTTATTGGAATCGCCAAGTGAAAATACCTTTTCTTTTTTCTGCGTCCTTTGACTTTGTTTTACGCCTTGCACATTCCGAGTTTATGAGTCTATTTGGAATGCCTTTGACACCTTTGACTTTCTACGTGCAATGATGGCAGGGCTACTTCCAAACATTATTTTCATGTATCGAGAGGCTGCTAGCTTTCTTAAATGTCAAGTGCCTTGTTCTCCCGGCTGCTGAAGAGGCTGAATCCATTTGGACTGAAAAATTCGGTTTCGAGAGAATAAAACCAGATCAGGTATATACTAAAAACAATAATACAATAATAGCACACACTTATGACCTTACATTGTGCGATTTTCTACCACCTGATAAATTTTTTGAATCGACTCACTTCAGCTTAGCTGCTATAGAAGAACTTGCTGCCAGATGGTGACATTCAAAGGGACATCCATGCTTCAGAAAATGGTTCCCTCATGTCGGGTTGCAGGTGCTCCATTGTGACCACGGTGACATTCATACGGGCATCCATGCTTCAGAAAATACTTCCATCATGTCGGGTCATAAGGTACTCCATTGTGACCATGGCAGGTGTGAGGTTCCCTCTAATCTTTTCCCTGCCTCTCATCTTTGTTCCCCCCTGAACCTTCATTCAGTGGGTTTGTGTGTGTATAGCTTATAAGTTTTTCCCTCTTATTTAGGCTATTCTGTAGTTGAGCTCTAGTTACTAAATATCCATTTTATTTATATATAACATCTTCAAAGCCACCTTGCCCCTACCTTCCCCCTTGCCTTATAAACGATCTTTATAGGCGATGGCTTTAGTCAAAACCAACGGCCAGTCCCCTAGCCGGCGGGTAAAACACCCTTCCATTCATGCTTGGTAGTAACCCAATACGTACTTGTGAATATTCAAATGCCTTAACAAGGTAGTATGATGTTTCTATAGTTAATTTTGCTATGAAATGACTTAGATGGAAAAATTATATTCAAGTTAAATCCTTCTCAGTTTTCTGGTTAGCGGGGTAAATCTAGGGGGAACTTTCGTTCGAATCTCATGTAGAACTTGGCTCCATTTGATTAAGGGTGAACCGTGAATTGGGTTCGAGGGTAGATCGGCTTCGATGGCAACCAACTTAGTAAGGTCTTTGAGAACAAATTTTTAAATATAATTTTTTAGGTTTTGTGTCTACTTAGTCCTTTAACTCTTAAAAGTGTTTAGAGGGAGAGAATATAAATTAAACTTGAATTATAAAACTGTGTTCTAAGCAATATTAAGATTGTATGAGATGGTAAGAACATCCAGAATTCAAATGTGGATTTAGCATTTTGCTAATAAAGAAATTACTATTTGTGGGACTCACGAGCCTCTGCCTCATGCATAATATCTTCAATCAACAGCTTCAAATTGAGATGAGAAGAGCCTCCTTCTTCCATGGCCGCCTTCGCTCTTTCAGCTAAATCCCTCACTCTTCTTCTCATCTCCTTGTTTCCGTCTCCATCCATCACCTTCTCAATTGCCCCTCTAATGCCTTCCATTTTCACTTGAACCCCGATTTCCTCCTCACTTCCCCACATAACACTCTTCTCCATCCCCACGCTGACCCCAACCTTCAGCAGCTGAACGATCAACTTCTCGTTGAATATCTGGTCGGCAAACAACGGCCAGGCCACCATCGGCACTCCTGCCGTGATCCCTTCGATGGTCGAGTTCCAGCCACAGTGTGTGACAAAGGCTCCGGCTGCCGGATGTGATAATATCAGCAGTTGCGGAGCCCAGCCACGGACCACCAGCCCTCTTTCTTTGGTCCTCTCTTCAAAGCCGGACTCTGACAGCCACTTTTCTAGTTCGTTGTTCGTGGCTTCGGTTTGTCTTATGACCCAAATGAATGGCCTGTTCAATGCCTCTAGAGCCAGCCCCAACTCTATGATTTGTGCTGCTATTAGGTTGCATAAGCTGCCGAGTGCAGCGTAGACGACTGAACCAGGCTGTTGTCTGTCAAGCCATTTAAGACATTCGTGTTCGTCAAGGGCGGCCTTGTTACCTCTTATAGCTTTGTCGGTTGTGTCTTTGTTGCATAATGAAACGGGCCCAACACACCAAACTTTCTCTGATCCTATATTGTTAACGAACACAATTATTCAAAAGAAAAAAAAGAAGAAGGTGTGCATATACAAAATCCATGAATTAAAAGATTTTGGGCGAATGTAATTGAGTACCTATTGCCTTCTTGAGCTCCTCAAGGTATTTTGGCTCCAACCCATCGAAAGAGTTGACAATGACACCATAGGAAGCTTGGTCAGCTTTGCCCATTTCATTGGCCCACTCCATAAACCCAGCATCCAAAGTGCAGATAAATTGCGGCTTAGTCAACTCGACTTTATCAGGCAAATTGGGAATAACAATTCGCTCGGAGTCAGAAGCAGACATGATTTTGTCAATAACACCTGTGGCTCGTAGATTCGCCATACCCAACAGATACAACGAAGACAAGCTGTAGAAAACAAGCCTAGGAACATTAAACTTGTGGGCAACCTTAATTGTCCAAGGCAACGCCATGTCCGACACGACACAGCTCGGTCTGGGAGACAACTGCTGGAACAAATCCTCTGTGGCCCGACAGAAAAGAGCCGTTGCCGATAAGAATTTGGGGAGTAAGCTGAGTGAAGGCAAGGAGTCGAAATTCTCGCAGCCTTGGGGAAAACCGGATTGTTGGTGAGATGGGAATTGGAGGTGAAGGATTTGGATTTGGGATTGGTTTGGGTGGGAGAGAAGGGAGTTGATCCGCGATGCGTTTTGAGGGGTGGTGATGAGGCTCACTCTGGCTCCATTTTCAGCTAGAAGCTTGGCCAGATCGGCCATGGGGATTAGATGACCTTGAGCCATGAGTGGGATGAGAAGGAAATGAGGTGGTTGCTTGGATTTGGAAGCCATGAAAGCCTGTGAGCTCAAGATTGCAGCTTTCTTTTTTTCTTTCTTTCTTTCTGTGTTTTATCTCTTTACTGCATGCGTTGTGTTTGGATAGAGACCACATGTTTTGACTTCAGAGAAAGAACAGACAAAAACATTTAAACCGCATTTTTTTCATTTCTTGCTTTTGGTGATTGTGTTTTTGTATTATTGTGGTGGGAGGTGTGTTGCATGAGCTAAACACCTCATTTTATAGCTTCAATATAATAGATAAATAAAGGAAGAAAAACAGAGTACAGTGGCGATGGCCGCCTATCAGGAAAGAGGAACAGAGGCCAGATTCCAGGGGATTTATGGGCGCAAATTGTTGTGCAATCCCACCGACCTTCCATACTCTAATACCTCTTCTTTCAATACTCTAATACCCCTAATTCCATTGGTTACATTCGAATGTCACACCAAAATGTTCTGATGCCTAATTGTTGTAGTGGAAGCCATGGCAAAATGTTATGTGGTTTGAAGATGAGTCAACTTACAACATACCGAAGGAAGCTCGAACAGCGAACAAAACTCAGAGAGACCGTGGACCCTACTCGTGGAAAGGCGTCGCCATTGGAGGAAGCAAACAATCGATTCGCACTCAGAGAAACACGCAACCAACCAGCAACGCTACGCACAGTTTGCGCCGGCGAAGTTTCGACACTTTGTGAACGGAGGAGGCGCGATGGTGGTCGGAACTGGAGAAGAGAAGAAAAAAAAAACAGAGGAACGGTGGGTTCTCTGCAAATGCACAAAGACAGAGAACGGGAAGGAAAGGAAGAACCGAAGAAGAGAGGAGAATGACGGCGTCCTCTGCACCGCGCGACGAAAAGATGGAAACACCCGACCCGACCCGCATAGTCAAACCGCCTGCCCAAATTCGACCCGGTTCATTAGAGGTAACCTGAACCGGTCGGCTGCCCAACTCGACCGTCTCGAACCGAAATTCCTTATTTTGCCCAATTTATATCATTTTAATAAGAATTTCGCCCTTATTTTAATAATTTTATTTTTTCCCCATTAAAAAATATGACAACAGAATTAATTAATTAATTAATTTCGTATATAATTAAACTTAGAAACTTGCTTATTTTCTAGTTAGTGTGATATTATGTTTAAAGCTTTCACTTATATGGTGTGAACTCTAATTAGTCTTAATTATACGAGAATTCTAGCATGTTTCGTATATTTATAAATCTATTGATTGAGCATGTTGGACACTTATTTATATATATATATATATATATATATATATGTTATGCATTATAGGGATTAATTACTCTTATATGTTCGAATGTTATATTATATATATGTTCACCTTAGATGAGAATATGCATGAACATGAGTAGTTACTAGTTATTGCATATTTCCTTAGTCTTAGAATTCACATTAGGTCCTATAGGTATTTTCATGTGACAAGGCAATCAAGTAGGCACGGATGGGGCACAATTCTAATCGTAAACTCTTAGTAGGTTTAAGATATACTTGATACATATTGGTTAGTTGTCACCCACAGGGGATGCCAAGAGTCGTAGAGGGTATGCTACTAGGTTGCACCTGATAGACAACTCATATGAGATGCAGGTGGTCAAAGTACTCATCTGCGTATGGTGCATAGGTTACTTCAAATACACGAGACTTACCTGTGGACCTATTATAGGACAAGTTGACTCACGTGCCAATAACATCGGATTAAGGATAGATTTTGAAAAATGTAAACAAAAAGCTAAGTACAACCTCCATACATTATGGCTCAAGGGATTTGGTTATCTACCTTAAAATAGGAGTGTATAAAGTTTAGGGATGCATAAGTTGAATAAGGCTAGCGTAAACAATAAGTCATGGCATTGACTAACGCCAAAGTTAGGATAGGAGCATATAGCTCAAGAAATCATGGTAAGGATTAAGTATGACAAGAGCTTACAAGTAGTTTGATTATTGGGTATTTTCGAGGGCCTTGAGCCTTTATCTGCGTAATATCTTCAATCAACAGCTTCAAATTGAGATTAGAAGAGCCTCCTTCTTCCATGGCCGCCTTCGCTCTTTCAGCTAAATCCCTCAATCTTCTTCTCATCTCCTTATTTCCATCTCCATCCATCACCTTCTCAATTGCATCTCTAATGCTTTCCATCTTCACTTGAACCCCGACCTCCTCCTCACCTCCCCACACAACACTCCTCTCCACCCCCACGCTGACCCCAACCTTCAGCAGCTGAACGATCAACCTTTGGTTGAATATCTGGTCGGCGAACAGCGGCCACGCCACCATTGGCACTCCCGTCGTGATCCCTTCGATGGTCGAGTTCCAGCCGCAGTGTGTGACAAAGGCTCCGGCTGCTGGATGTGATAATATCAGCACTTGCGGAGCCCAGCCACGGACCACCAGCCCTCTTACTTTGGTTCTCTCTTCAAACCCGGATTCTGACAGCCACTTTTCTAGTTGGTTTTTGGTGGCTTCGGTTTGTCTTATTACCCAAATGAATGGCCTGTTCAATGCCTCTAGAGCCAGCCCAAGTTCTATGATTTGCGCTGCTACTACGTTGCATAAACTGCCGAGTGCAGCGTAGACGACTGAGCCGGGCTGTTGTCTGTCGAGCCATTTGAGACATTCATGTTCGTCGATGGCGGCCTTGCCTCCTCGTACAACCTTGTCGGCTGTGTCTCTGTTGCATAATGAAACGGGCCCAACACACCAAAGTTTTTCTGATCCTATGTTGTTAATGAGCGTAGATAAATAAATCAATAACTCAGTCAAGATCAGAAATTCATGTTTTCTTACTCTAAATGTTGCTGAGCTGAACCAAAAAGAAAGGAAAAAAAAAAGGTCTTATAGTCTAATATGACATTAGTGTTAGAGGATGGTTGGGAGAGAATCCGACCTTGGTAATGAAGGTGAAGATCATGAGTTTATGTTACAAGGCTTTTTGGAGAAACCAAAAGCAAAGTAATGAAACCTTATGCTCAAAGTAGACAATATCATACCATTGTGAAGGGTCCGTGATTCCTAATATGGGTATTAGAGTCATGCCCACAACTTAGTCATGTCAATATAATCACCAAATGTCGAACAAAAGAAGTTGTGAGTCTTGAAGGTGTAGTCAAAAAGTGTCTCAAGTGTCGATGGCTGAAAGCTAGCCTCGAAGGTGTAGTCAAAAGTGACTAAATGTCAAACGAAATATGTACTTTGTTTGAGGGCTCGAGAAAAAGGAGTCGAGCCACAATGAAGGGACATAGCACAATAGGTCTCAGGGGAAATTCTATGGTGTACTTTGTTCGAGCGGAAAGGATTATTGAGGATGGTGTGGAATTGGGAGATCATGAGTTTATAAGTAATGAATACTATCTCGATTGGTATGAACCCTTTTGAAGAAACCAAAGGCAAAGTCACAAGAGATTAGGTTCAAAATTGACAATATATCATATTATTGTGAAGGGTCCGTAATTCCTAACACTATTTATTGTCATGGAATGCTTTAAGACGAGGGTGAAGAAGGGAGGCTTTAATTGAGTACCTGTGGCCTTCTTTAACTCCTCGAGGTAATTTGGTTCCAGAGCATCAAAAGAGTTGAGAATGATACCATGGGAAGCCTGGTCAGCTTTATTCATTTCATTGGTCAACTCCATGAACTCAGCATCCAAAGTGAAGATAAGTTGCGGCTTAGTGACCTCCACTTTATCAGGCAAATTGGGCATAACAATCACCTCGGACTCAGAAGCAGACATGATTTTGTCGATCACACCTGCGGCTCGTAGATTCGCCATACTCAACAGATACAACGAAGAAAAGCTGTAGAAAACAAGCCTAGGAACATTAAACTTGTGGGCAACCTTAATTGTCCAAGGCAACGTCGTGTCCGACACGATACAGCTCGGTCTGGGAGACAGCTGCTGGAACAAATCCTCTGTGGCCCGACAGAGAAGAGATGTTGCCGACAAGAATTTGGGGAGTAAACTAAGTGAAGGCAAGGAGTCACAATTCTCGCAGCCTTGTGGAACGCCGGATTGTTGGTGAGGTGGGAATTGGAGGTGAAGGACTTGGATTTGTGATCGGTTTGGGTGGGAGAGTAGGGAGTTGACTCGCGATGTGTTTTGGGGGGTGGTGATGAGGGTGACCCTGGCTCCATTTTCAGCTAGAAGCTTGGCCAAATCGGCCATGGGGATTAGATGGCCTTGAGCCATGAGTGGGATGAGAAGGAAGTGCGGTGGTTGCTTGGATTTGGAAGCCATGAAAGCCTGTGAGCTCAAGATTGCAGCTTCCTTTGTTTGTTTCTATCTTATATCTGTTTGCTGCTGCTAGAGACCACATGATGTTTTGACTAAACAGGAAGAACAAATGAGAGAAACATTTAGACAGTTTTGTTGACAATTGTGTTATTGTATTGTTTGTAGTGGGTGGTGGAACACTGAAACACGTCATTTTATCGCTTCATATAGAATATATGTCTTAAACCGTAAGAATTGTTGAGGCTCACAGACTTCGGCCCACATACTCTTCAAAAAGGATAATCTGATCCTCCCTGCCCCATCAAGTCAAGCTCGAACCAGAGAATTGGAAGAATACGGTGTTAGGGAAGGAAGCTGGAACAGAGAACAAAACCCAGAGACAGACCGAGAACCCTTCTCGTCGAAAGGCGTCGCCATTGGAGGAAGCTAACAATCTATTCTCACTCAGAGAAACACGCAACTAACCAGCACCGCTGCGCACGGTTTGCGCCAGCGAAGTTCCGACACTTTGTGAACGGAGGAGGCGCGATGGTGGTCTGCACTGGAGAAGAGAAGAAAAACAGAGGAACAAGGTTGATGAAAGTCCACATCTGCTATTTATAATAAAAAAAATATCTATCTCTATTAATATTAGGCCTTTGAGGAGGATGAAAACAAAGACACGAGAGTTTATGCTAAAAGTGGACAATATCATACCATTATGGAGAGTCGTGTTCAACTAACACTCTGCAAATGCACAAAGACAGAGAATGGGAAGGAAAGGAAGAACCGGAGAAGAGAGGAGAATGACGGCATTCTCTGCACCGCACGACAAAAAGAAGGAGACGACACGACACGACCTGCCTAATGAAACCGCATGCCCAATTTGACCTAGTTTATTAGAGTTTAACCGAACTGCTTGGCTGCCCGACCGACTCGAATCGAAAATCCTTATTTTTGACAATGGACAAAATTTATTAGGGAACATGACGACAAGCCTAGTTAATCAAGTCGGATATTTATTAGAAAATATGGCGATAAACCTAATTAATTAAGTTGCATATAGTTAAATTTAGAAATTGGTTCGTTTTCTAGTTTAGCGTAATATTATATTTAAAGTTTCTACTTATATGTTGTGATGTCTGATTAGACTTAATTATACGAGGACTCCAGCATGTCTCGTATATTTGTAAACCTATTGATTGAGCATGTTGGACACTATTATATGTATGTGTTATGCATAACAATATGTCGTGGGGATTAATTATTTGCAATGTGCCCTAGAGAGTCTAGATGAGAATATACATGAACATCAGTAGTTATTGCGCATTTTCTTAGTATAAGAGTTCACATTAGATTCAATAGGTATTTTCATGTGGCCAGGCAATCAACTAGGGTCAGTTGGGGCGCAACCTCTAATCTTGAATTCTCCTAGTAGGGTTAGGATCTATTTTCACAAGGGGATGCCAAGAGTCGTAGAGGGCATGCTACTGAGGTGCACCTAGTACATAGTTCATATAGGATGCAAACAGTCAAATTACTAACCTACCTATAATGCATAGGTTACCTCAAACACACAAGACCTACCCCTGCAAGCCCGTCATAGGACAAGTGGACTCAAGTGCGAGTAGAACTAGGTTAAGGATAGACTTTGAGAAATGTAAACAAAATGTTAAGTACAACCTAATCCTACATTATGGCTCGAGGGGTTTAGCTATACACCCTATATTAGGAGTGTAGTAACTTACTTGTAGGCTCTCGTCGAACTTGATCCTTACAATGATTTCTTGAGCTATGTGCTTCTATATTGTCTCTACCGTTAACCAATGTCATATCTTATAGTCTATAATAGGAGTGAGGGAGAGCCATGCAATTGTAGAAGTGCTCTTTGATCTTCCATTAGATTTGTAACATTGTTTGCTTCTCCCTTTTTTCAAAAAGTAAAGAATATAAACTAAACTTGAATTACAAATTTGTGTGTTCTAAGCCCTTGTATAATTCAAATGTGACTACTTTTAGGCCTCCCGAGCCTCTGCCTGCGTAATATCTTCCATCAACCGCTTCAAATTGAGGTGAGAAGAGCCTCCTCCTTCCATGGCGGCCTTTGCTCTTTCAGCCAAATCCCTCACTCTTCTTCTCATCTCCTTGTTTCCATCTCCATCCATCACCTTCTCAATTGCATCTCTAATGCCTTCCATCTTCACTTGAACCCCAATTTCCTCCTCACCTCCCCACACAACACTCTTCTCCACCCCCACGCTGACCCCAACCTTCAGCAGCTGAACGATCAATCTTTCATTGAATATCTGGTCCCCGAACAGAGGCCACGCCACCATCGGCACTCCCGCCGTGATCCCTTCGATGGTCGAGTTCCAGCCGCAGTGTGTGACAAAGGCTCCGGCTGCTGGATGTGATAATATCAGCAGTTGCGGAGCCCAGCCACGGACCACCAGCCCTCTTTCTTTGGTCCTCTCTTCGAAGCCGGATTCTGACAGCCACTTTTCTAGTTGGTTTTTGGTGGCTTCGGTTTGTCTTATGACCCAAATGAATGGCCTGTTCGATGCCTCTAGAGCCAGCCCCAGCTCTATGATTTGCGCTGTTACTATGTTGCATAAGCTGCCGAGTGCAGCGTAGATGACTGAGCCAGGCTGCTGTCTGTCGAGCCATTTGAGACATTCGTGTTCGTCAATGGCGGCCTTGTTGCCTCGTACAGCCTTGTCGGTTGTGTCTCTGTTGCATAGTGAAACGGGCCCAACACACCAAACTTTGTCTGATCCTATGTTGTTAATGAACGTAGATAAACAATTCAGTTAAGTTTTCCCTGACAAGACAATAATTATACAGTATTTGTTGGGGGATAGTTTCAGATTGACTCATGAAGGGGAATATTAATGTAATTAATTGTCCTCTTTCGACTTTTCGGGCTTCCTCTCAAGGCTTTAAAAAGCTTCGCCTAAGGAAAGGTTTCCACATTCTTATAAGGGTGATTTGTTTTCCTCTCTAACCAACGTGGGACATCACAATTAATTCAGTAAGAAATACTATTTTCATTGGTACGAGGTCTTTTAGGGTATTAGACAATATCATACCATTATGGAAAGACATTAATTTCTAACATGGGTATTAGAGTCATGCACTTAACTTAGCATGTCAATATAATCCTCAGGTATGTCAATATAATCCTCAAATATCAAACAAATTCTGTACTTTATTTGAAGGCTCCAGAAAAAGGATGGTAGCCTCGATTATTTGAGGGCTTCATAGGTTTCATGGGAGACTAACTTTGAAGGTGTAGTCAAAAGTGACTCAAGTGTTGAACAAAGAGTGTACTTTTTTCATGGGCTCCCGGCATGACTCCATAGATCTCAAAGAAGACTCTATGGTGTACTTTATTGAAGGAGAGGACGACGGAGGATTATTGAGAGAAAGTCCCACATTGACTAATTAAAGGGAATATCATGAGTTCTTAAGTTAGGAATACTCTCGGTTAGGAGTCTTTTTAGGAAAACCAAAAGCAAAGCCACTAGAAATCATACTCAAAATGGACAATATCATATCACGTGGAGGTGGAGGAGGATCGGTGATACAATGCTCTATTTATTGTGATGCAAAGCTACGAGGGTGAAGAAGGGAGGGTGCAATTGGGTACCTGTTGCCTTCTTGAACTCCTCAAGGTAATTTGGTTCCAGAGCATCAAAAGAGTTGAGAATGATACCATAGGAAGCCTGGTCAGCTTTATTCATTTCATTGGCCAACTCCATGAACTCAGCATCCAAAGTGAAGATAAGTTGCGGCTTAGTGACCTCCACTTTATCAGGCAAATTGGGCATAACAATCACCTCGGACTCAGAAGCAGACATGATTTTGTCGATCACACCTGCGGCTCGTAGATTCGCCATACTCAACAGATGCAACGAAGAAAAGCTGTAGAAAACAAGCCTAGGAACATTAAACTTGTGGGCAACCTTAATTGTCCAAGGCAACGCCGTGTCCGACACGACACAGCTCGGTCTGGGAGACAGCTGCTGGAACAAATCCTCTGTGGCCCGACAGAGAAGAGATGTTGCCGACAAGAATTTGGGGAGTAAGCTAAGTGAAGGCAAGGAGTCACAATTCTCGCAGCCTTGTGGAACGCCGGATTGTTGGTGAGGTGGGAATTGGAGGTGAAGGACTTGGATTTGTGATTGGTTTGGGTGGGAGAGTAGGGAGTTGACTCGCGATGTGTTTTGGGGGGTGGTGATGAGAGTGACCCTGGCTCCATTTTCAGCTAGAAGCTTGGCCAAATCGGCCATGGGGATTAGGTGGCCTTGAGCCATGAGTGGGATGAGAAGGAAGTGAGGCGGTTGCTTGGATTTGGAAGCCATGATAGCCTGTGAGCTCTTGGTACACAGACTTATATCTCTTTGCTGCATATGTGTGGCTACAAATCACATGTTTTGATCATACAGGAAGAACAAACAAGAGAAACAGCTAGAAAGTTTTTTTTTTTTAAAAAAAAAATCTTCTTTTTGGTATTTGTGTTCTTATATTTTATAGTGGGAGATTTGTAGCATGAGAGGGAAGACTAACCACGTCTTTCGGTTGCTTCAATTATATACATATATATTTATATATATATATGTATATGTAGATACACCATCAGCCTATCTAATCTGGTTCACATTTCAGTGGTGGGATTTGGTACCCATATCTGATCCGATCGAGAATCTTTGCCGCCCCCACAAGGGGAGGCTCAAAGGAACTTGTCTCTAATCTCACGCTTGACTAAGATTTCGAAAGTGGATCCATCTATCCACAAATTTTCTACCATTTGATTTGCCATTAGGGGGTCTCTCCGATTCCCAATTCCAAAAGTATCTATCTCTGTAAGATTGTGTATGGAGCTGAGATGTCACTTCGCTAGTCATCAAGAGAAACTCATAATAGTAATTTAGAAGATCGATAGGAATGGAGGAGATTTGGTCTCCTATTTCAATAATTACAAACTATCATAACTACTTAACTAGAAATAAAAGTAGTGATGAACAAGAAATGACAATTGGTATGAAAAGAATTCAAATCAAAATTGATGAATCTCCAAAAGAAACCTCGAGAACGCCACCCTTTTGCTTGTTCTAATATTGTTACCCAATTGATCGGCCCACTGCCCCATGGGAGGTCAAATGCTACCAAAATGCTGATGCACGCACTTACCTCACGCCTCCATTGATTTATATATAAATAATGGAAACCAGAGCCCCATAGCTCGGAGGAACGGCCTTCTCTTTCCACACGACTCTGCCATGGCGCCCCACAGCGATACACTTCACTGTCTTCTCTTCCCTTTCATGGCGCAGGGCCACATGATCCCCATGATGGACCTCGCCAAGCTTCTCGCTCGCAATGGCGCCATAGTCACCATCGTCACCACGCCCCTAAATTTTGCCCGCTACCACTCTGTTCTTACTCGCGCCATTGATTCCGGCCTTCAAATCCACGTCGTTCAACTCCAATTCCCATGGACCAAAAACTCCGGCATCCCAGAAGGCTGCGAGAATGTCGACTTACTTCCTTCACTTTCTTACTTATCCCATTTCTACAGAGTTTTAAGTCTCCTTTACGACCCATCGGAGAAATTGTTCGAGCAGCTCACCCCTCGTCCGAATTGCATAATCTCCGACATGTGTATTCCTTGGACCTTCCAGCTCGCTCAGAAATTCCATGTCCCCCGGCTCGTTTTCTACAGTTTGAGCTGCTTCTTCCTTCTCTGTCTCAACCGTTTATTCGGAAAATCCGATGTTTGGAAATCCCTGTCTGATTCTGAGTTCGTGGCGGTACCGGACTTCCCCGATCCGGTGGAGTTTCGCAAGTCGCACCTACCTCGTAGCACGGATGATTACGCGACCCAATTTGGTCAAGCAATGAGCGAGGCTGATCGGCAGTCGTACGGCGTTATTTTAAATGTATTTGAGGAGATGGAGCCAGAGTATCTAACAGAGTATAGAAAGGGAAGAGAATTGCCGGAGAACGTCTGGTGCGTCGGCCCTCTTTCGCTTTCCAACGATACCGAACTCGACAAAGCCGAAAGAGGCAACAAAGCCTCAATCAACGAACACGAATGCATCAAATGGCTCGATGGGCAGCAACCCTCTTCGGTGGTTCATGCGTCTTTGGGGAGTCTCTGCAATTTGGGAACAGAGCAGCTCATAGAGCTGGGATTGGGATTGGAGGCATCGAACAAACCATTCATCTGGGTCATAAGAAAAGCCAATCTCAAAGAAGAATTACTGAAATGGTTAGAGGAATATGATTTCGAGAGGAAAGTTTCAGGTAGAGGCTTGGTGATTCGTGGATGGGCGCCACAGGTTCTGATACTCTCCCACTCTGCAATTGGATGCTTTCTGACACATTGCGGTTGGAATTCGAGCATCGAAGGGATATCGGCCGGTGTCCCAATGATCACATGGCCTCTATTTGCGGATCAAATCTTCAACGAGAAGCTAATCGTACAGATTCTGAAGGTGGGTGTAAGTGTGGGAGAGGAAACGGTTTTGCATTTTGAAAGGGAAGATGAAGAACTGGTTCTGGTGAAGAGAGAAAAAGTGAGAGAAGCCATAGAAATTGTAATGGATGGAGATGAGAGAGAAGAGATGAGAGAGAGATCAAAGAAGCTTGCGAAGAAGGCGAAGACCGCCATGGAAGAAGGAGGTTCGTCTCATCGGAACCTCAAACTGCTCATTCAAGATTTGATTGCTCATGGTCGAAGTTCTAAGAATGGAAGCTGCTGATGATTGTGGTGTAAGTTGTTTTTTTTGATAATCAGCCATATAAATTCTGTGAGAGGAAATCGTAGACGGGAGGTTCTTAGAAGAAAAATAAAATAGGTAAAATAAAATCAGGTTATTAGATATTTTGAACAGATTTCCTGTTTAAATATAAACCATCTTAAATCTTAAAAATTGGTCGAGAGTGGCCAACTAACTAAATCTCCGTCACTCTCTACAAAATTGTGGTTTAAAACTTTGGTGATCCATTCGGATTCTGAGATCGTGTGAATTGAACAACTGAAAGAATCCAGGTTTTATCTAACATAAGTTATGGTTCTCACTGAGTTTATACTTGTAAACACTTCAACACGTAAACACTTCGATCACGAAAAGGAACATGATTGATTCTTTCAAACATTATGAATTATTCAACAAATTCTCCTCATTATTAACTTCCCCTAATGGAAGATTATTCAAACGATTGGACAGAAAATTACATTTATAGCCTTGAAACCAGTGCATCCGTATATCGGCGGTCGATCGTCGCCGGGATATACATGGGCGGACGGGCACAAATGCTTGAACATAATCGAGTACGGATCCGGGTGGCAATCGGGAACATTGCAGCAATATTTCGGCGGCCCAAACTTGTCGCACGAGCTGTAGCAGCCGACGTTCGCGCCGTTTTTGTTAGTGAAAGAGAGCACCGGAGGGCAAACGTGGTTCAAGTCCGCAACGCAGCCGACGGCAGGGCAGGCGCCGAAACCGCCATCGACGAGGTAGCCACCGTCGGGCTGGATCTTGGCCCGAACGTTGAAGCCGTGTCTGAGGCTGAGCTCGTAGTGGACGACGGATTGGTTAATGGCGAAGTTGAGGAGGGTGACTGGGATGGCCGGTAGAGAGTCGCAGATTATAGAGCCTGACCTACAATCGCCGGTTTCGCAGGAGAAATTAAGGGTTTTGTCGTAGGAACAATTGGTGCGGGCCCAGATGCTCCCATTCCACGTGTATGGCATGGTGTACGTCTTGGAAGTGTCCGACTTCATCTTCAGATTCGTGTATCCGGTTGCTATGCCTGAAGATAGCCAGATGGGATACGGGCATTGGTTCTGGAAGACAAATACCACATCATCCGAAATTACCCCTGCAAATATTTCAATATTACTATTATATAATTAATTAAAATGAATATTTAAATATTATTATTCTACCTTAAAAAAATAAAAAAAAAGTTAATTAAGGTTACCTGCTGCAAGAAGGGCGACTTGGAGAAGGAGGATAAGAGATGTTTTGAAAGCCATTGATTGATACTGATGAGTAGTGTAATTAATTATGGTAGAGGAAGACTCAATTTATAGGGAAAAAAAATACAGGGTTATTTATGGAATTTACTAAGTATCAAATTATTGATATATAAATCGGTTACAAATATAAATATTTATATGTACATTTTAATAAATTGATTGTGATGGATAACTAGCTTAAAACTGAAATGAGAATGAGATGAAATGAAATATGGTAATGTATAATTTAGAAAGCTATCTTTAAAATGGTATGCTACTATTTAAGTATAATTTAATTTAGTATGGAGGTTGCGATACCAAAATTTAAGTTGACTAATTTCATATACGTATTTGTTGAATTTACGAGAATCGAGATTTTTGAAAGAAATTATGGATTTTAAATGTTAGCGTGTGAAAGGTTTAAGTTAGGGTTTCTGTGAGTGACGAAGGAAAGATTGGGAAGAAAATGAAAAATACTATATTGGTTGGGGAAAAATAGATGGGGTTGTATGTACATAGTATGCGGGTGATTAGGAGGTCAAAAGGGTAGAGGTGATGAGTAATCAATTGGCTCTGCATGTGACAGTTATGGAGACTGCCCTTACGACGTCAAAGCCAGCAAGGGTGGTGGAGAAGAACATGAGTAGGGGATTTAGAAGTCATTGAAAATAAGAGATCGGAGTTGTTAAACTTAAAAGGCTCTGATACCATGAGAATGTTTGCTTAATTCATCGCACCTAAATGATGTGAAAGTTATCTTATTTATAATCAAATAAATTACAAGGATATGGAAAGAGTAATAAATGAAAAGATATTTATGCTAACAAGAGATATTTGTGTATAATAAAATATCAAATATAATATATATGGTAAACTATAATTTAATATTATATATCCTTAACAAGACTCAAAGGAGTAACGTTGAGATATTACTAGCATTTAAGTCACTCAAATCACAAAGGTAGCTCTACCTAACAACATCTCGATGTTATGAAGAGATATGCCTTGCATTTTTCGTTGGTAGGATTGAGACATTACATGTAGCATCTCGAAGCTACATTAAAAAAAAACATAAAATTTAGTTTAATAATCCTTCGGTTTTTAGTTTTTCGGGTGAAAAATTAAAACAAAAAAACAAAAAAATAAATTTCTTTTAAATTTTGAATATAAGTTTATTTTTTTATTATTAAAAAAGCAAAATAATTACGAGAAAAACAAATAATATTGCTAAAAGTTCTTATTGGGCCGTTGGATTGGAACTATTCACAGCCATTTTGGGCTGTTGCTTTACGCACCCAAAAGCCTTAGCTAATGACCCATAATATTTGAAAATTTGAAATCTTAGCTCTATTTAAAGACCTAATTTTTGATGCTCAAATCCATTACTAATAAGATGAGCTACCGATGAACCAATACGATGCTTGCAATACACACTTTGATTTTTACGTTCGATATAGAGTTTCTAGTAGGCATAACAAGAACTATAATATTTTCTAGCATGCTTTGAAAGAGCACTTCTACGCGTACGAGGCATACTAGTTTGAATCGTATAAGTTGAGCCTCCACTGACTCATATAGAATAGTGTCACAATATTGACATATTCATAACATTTTCTTTTAACAATAAGTTAATAATAATCCTAAAAAATAATATCATAATCATCTATCCTCCACTCAAGCTTAATTTAATGGAAGGTGGAATCAATTCCATTTCTTCCACTGAAAGATGTGGGCTGCGAATAGGACTTTTATGGAAACATTAAATCATATTATATACATAAAATATTACAATTTGACATGTAACTTAAACTTTGCGCATATTACAAATAATATTTGAAACATGGAGTACGCGTAGGGCTAAGACTCTTCCATCAAAACTTAACTTAAAAGAATCCAATTCCAATTAAAAGTAATCTTTTAAAATTTGTTCATATATATATATATATATATATATAACTATTTTGGATATTTTGTTTATTAATTTAGCTTAAATTTTGTATTAACATTTTATTATTTTAAATTAATAATTAAATAACTTAACCAATCAAATTATAGTTATTGAAAAACTTAAAAAGGCTTTAAATGGGTCTAATAGACATGCATTTAATGGTAAAGGGAAAAGGAAATAGAGTGAACAACATTAATTAATTAATCAATTAATTAACAAACAGAATAATAGAATCCTATTGGTCATACGTTCATAATTAATAAGCGACAAAGATTAGATATTTTTCTAATATATTTTATTTTTATCATTATTTCATAATAATTTTATCAAATTTATATCAGTTTTTATTTAATTATATTAGATTAGGGTATTTTTCACAAATTAATTAAGTAATAAAAATACCTAACAATTAGTCCATGCATCAAATGGAAAATACGTCAGATGCAGCTAGATTAGGAGAATGAAGGGACTAGAGAGGGATTAAATACGATTAGATTAGGGTAATTAAATTAGTGATTAATTGAATAATTATTATTAAAAAGAAAAAAATGCTTCCGTGTTTTTTAAGTTGGGACGGCAACGTCGGCTGTGACCATAAAATAACGAACCGACATCTCTCTATGATGGAGAGGTTTTGGTCATTTCCGACTTGTCGTACCGACCACCTTTATTCCCAATCTAATCTCCCAAAAGTCCATCACTTGGATGCTTCTGCCTTTCCAACCCATAATCACTAGACTTTATCAATTCAACTCACATAAATAAACAAATAAATAAATAAAAGAATACGTCCAATCTAATTTATTATTTATATAAATATTTTTAATGTTATTTTTTTTTTACATTAATTAATTTATTATACATAATAAAATTTTAAAATTTTTAATAATAAGTATACACCAGTAGTCATAGTTTATAATATCACCCATTAATAAACCATGTCTCAATTCAGTTGTAAATTGCATTAATAAATAGAAAATTATATTTTAAGTTATCCTTTATCATAAACAACATATAATTAAATATTATAATATGATCAACCCCTACTAATCAAACACTAATCACAGTCACTATTTAATAAATATATATTTTGGTGGTCCATTGCAATCCTACATTTTTTTTTAATAGTTAGATCTTCATGCGATAACTTTTTAATTTTTTTTCTTTTTGGGTAACTTCAATCATTGGTAAGTTTTTACCAAAGTTTTTAAATATTAAATATATTCAAAATTATTAATTATAAAATAAAAGAAAAAACTTATTTAATTTGTCCACTTTTAGCATGAACACGACTGGCCACTCTGAGCATACGCTCTCTTGGCTTTGCTTTAGGCTTCCCCAACAGGCCTAACAATGAGTACATGAATGTGGCGAAAATCACATTAGAATGAGAGCGATCGTGAGAATATGATGATTAAGGAAAAATTTAAAAGAATTGAAAGTTACTATTTACCAATAATGTGCATTCTCCTATTCGGTGGCTCAATCATATAAACTTCATAGTTAAACATGTTTTGTTTGGAGAAATCCTATGTTTTGCTTGTGGGGATAGTTTTCTCTCATAAAACGAGGAATATGTAATCTGACTATGTTACAGAGGAATGCCGAGACCATCAAATGTGAATTCTAAACCTAAAGAATTGAGAAATAATTTATAAAATATAATTGATAAATATGCGAGGTAATGGGAAAGGACAAAAGGGGGCAGGAGGGTGTTTGTATTGTTATCAAGTCGTTGTTAATTAATAATTTGATTATTCTTTTTTTTCCCTAATTAATATTACTAAATTAGAGAAGAGGACAAGGTTGGAAATGCAAAAAAGAAAGAACAACAATAATAATAATAAAATACCATAGATGAGTAGATAACTATAAGATATACATTACATTTTTGCGATAATTCAGTAGATAAGTATAAAGTATATGTAAAAGAAAATGTAAAATTACCAATTTAGCTATGCTTCCAATTTATTTTAATTTGGATATGAATAAACAAATATGACAAAGAAAGTGTGATATATTAAAAAATAAATAAACTAATTTCTATATTTTAAATTTTGTGGGTAATGACATATTTAATATTTTTATAAAAATTAACGACATTAAACATTAATGCTTTAGATTTTATTTTGATTAAAATTTTAAAGCACTGAATATGTTAGAATTTTGTAATAAAAAATTATAGATTGAAAATATAGATAAATTAAAAGATATATATATATATATATATATATATATATGTATGTTTGTTTTAATAATAAAGAAAAAGACGTCTGGGGAGGGCTGGGGAAGAGAGGCGAATGAAAGTGGGAGGAATTTGGATTTGAAAAAGTTGGTGTTCTTATGGAAGCAACGACTGGCTAAAGAGCAAGATAGAGTGCTGGCTTTGTTCTAAAGTAATCAGCTACCGGGATTTTGATCCATAATCCTTACCATTCAACTGAAAGCGATCCATCCGAAAGCGAGTCCCAGAAAAGTTCTGAAGCTGTTTTTTCCACTTCCAATCCCACCTACTTCGTTTCTGCTCCACCAATTTTCTCTTCAGATCCTCCTCTCTCTCTCCTCCCATTTCTCTGCAACTTCCATCTTTGATTCTCTTCTCCGGAGGTACAATCTCTCTTTCTCTCTGTTTTGATTCTGCGTACATGCTTATTTTGATGCTGATGAATGAAACCTCACTTGTTTAGTTTTTTTTTTTTTTTTTTTTTTTTTTTTTTTTTTTTTTTTTTTTTTTTTTTTTT